ATACGTATATATATATATATATATATATATATATATATATGTGTGTGTGTGTGTGTGTGTGTGTGTGTGTGTGTGTGTGTGTATGTGTGTGTGTTTGCAATCGCCAACTTATATACATAAATACATATATATATAAATTTCCAGATTACAAATACACAGGAAACGTTTCGCATCAAATACACCGTCTTGCTATTTCTCGCAGACATATATATATACACATTCGTCGTAATTTACATCCGCATTGCAGCAGCTGAGATTTTGCGAGAGCTATTACGAACTTCCCTGGATTGTTTGAGAAAACAGTCTCCTCAAAAGAAGCTAATGCAAATAAATATGTTCGGACAATGCGCGTCTCTCTAATGAGAGTGAGAGACTTTTCACGGTCGTAATCCTATTCGTCTTATGGTGGCATTCGCCAAGTATTGTTCGATGTATCTCTCGCGTGCACCTTGACACGCGAAGTTGCAGCTCATAGGTCGCATGTATAAGCCGGAAATTGCCTCGTCGTGAAGCGACGGAGGAGATGAAAAGATGGATGGTGAAGCGCACGTGGGAGCGAAAGAGCGACGAAGACAGAAGAGAGAACGAGAGAGAGAGAAAGAGAGAGAGAGAGGGAAGGAGAGAGAGGGAGAGGCGCAATGACTCTCCTTTCTCGAGCATGGATCTGTTCGAGACTATCACTTTCGACGGAATGAAAGTAGAGAATGTTCCTGGCGCGGGAGGAAAGAGGCGCGATAACGCTCGCTTCGCAATTAAAATCGTGTGATTTTAATAAAAACATCACGTCACATCCGCATCCCGTTTTTATTTATTCGCGTAATGAATTTTCCCAGTATAGAAATTCGTTCTACTGTTCGCGTCTCGCAATTAAGCGAATTGTAGCGCCTTTTGTAGTATGAATTTACAAAGCTAATAAACACTGACCAAGAGTGCATGAGAACGTTTAATTAATGATGAATGTATCCAATTATCTTCGACATGTTGAATTGAACGAAAACAAAATGCTTTTTCCCCAGGCGAAACGTGAGATGTGGAGTTGCACTTGTATGCCCGCTTTGTCGGCCGATTAATGTCATCGATGTGCGCGTAATTTTAATGTTTCTCAATATACATCACGTGCGGGTCTATGCATGCATTTGGCATGCTGACGGTCACGAGTATGGCGATAACAGCTTGGAGGCGATATAGATTCAGCACACATCGCTTCTACTCGAAGACAATGTTGCAATATTGCATTCCCGAGGTCATATATCAATTGATTTTTGGTCATCTGACATCTGCAGTTTCATTAGCCGGGGATTATCACGCAATTGTTTATGCGACACACATATTATGCAACTGTAGCATGTGTGATGATGTACTAACTGACAAATTATTCAAGTGAGCTTTCTTAGATATACAATCAATGAGAATAATTTTTAGACAAATAAAAGTCAAAACGCCAGTGGAGAAACGAATAATTTATTTATTAATTAATAAATAAATCCTTGATCCTTCATCTACTGCTGCTGTTATTCACTTTTTCATCAGCATTTTCTCTCATTTGTCTAAAAAATATTCTCATTGATTGTATCAATTGAAATGTATTTTACATTTTTTTCGCAAGGTGAACGAATTTTGCAAATTTGTTGTCAAACTGGGAACAAAATTTGCACAGATATAAGGAAAATTAGCATCCAAACTGCAAAAGGATAAGAGACATTATCATGGATCGTTCTAATAACTTCAAGGATAACTTCGATCTGTCATGCGAGAGACGAGAGTATAACGAATAAGTTCACAGTCGACTGAAGATCGAAAGAGTTTTTCCGAAACATTAAGTGAGAGCAGAAGATCGATCTTCCTCGAGGCACATATGAATCATCGCAAGGCGATCATTGCAAGTCTCGATTTTTTTCACCTCAAACTTGTTATTCCGGTAAGACTCGCTTCAGGAAGATTTTCACTTCGCCGACTTCTTCTCAGTGCGCCGCACTAGCGCGCGCGTGCCGATAAAATTTATGAAACCCAGTTCACCGTGAAATCGTCGAAAAATAATGATTCGCGCGAAAAGCAGCCTCAGTCTCTCCACCGGCCATTACGAGTGACCGATGATTATTGTCGAGAGCTGCGCGTCCAGGTGGAAACGGATTGTCTCAGAAAAGAAATCGATCTGTCTTCTGCACTGTCGGTGCTCGCGAACATGCGAAACTCGCGAACGGTCCACTTGTGTCACCATCTCGCCACGTGGTCGTCGGACTTAGCCACGAGACACTGGGAATGAGTCGGTGGGATCCGCAAAGTGCGCCGGAAGAGTTACAAAACGGCAAGGATGCGGTGTTGAGAACTCACCACGCACAGATATCGTATCCGTCACACGGTTTCTCGTCGTGGGATTGAACTGGTGGAATATTTTTCGTGAAAAAAAAAAGATATTTGTCGTCGCAGCGTGCCCTGAAGGAGCTCTCGGCGGCTCCTACGTTCTCTTCGGAGTTTTCTGTTACTGTCTGTGTAGCGGCGCTTAGTGAGCGGCTTTTATTAGAAGGAGGGGCTCGACACCACCTCCACGCTACACTTATGTCCACGGTCTCTCGTCCTCTCTTTCTGTCACGACGCTGAGATCCTGAAGAAGGGATCGACCACATCCATAAATTTTGGCCCGTCCACCTGAACATGAACACTTCGACGACGAAGTTCGACAGATGCACTCGCCTTATTCGTGTAAACAAGCTCGTGGACGTGGTGGAGCGCTGATTTGTGCCCCCGTTCAGTACTAGGTAGCTAATTGTACGCATAGAGAATGATTTCTTTGGATTCATTAAGTTTTGTGAAACTCAAGGAAATTTGAAACACCTATATTGGAATAATTCGAATAAACCAAGTTTTACCTTAACAAATAACAAGATCATTTGGCTTTTCGGCTAATTTTATTATTTCGCCCAAATAATTCATCGTTTGGTTCAGAGAAGAGAATTGTTTCACTTCATTTTCTCATTCTATTAAAAAAAGTTCGATAATTCTGCTTAAATAATTTTAAAATGCTTGACATTTTTGTCTTTACGTCTTGCCGGCTGTCTTTTTATTGCTTCATTCTGTGCGTCCTTCTCTTTTATGATCTTCCATCCAAATACTGCATTATCATGTGACCATTTTTTTTTATTAGCTATGATTTGGGTTTCAATGATCGTGTAGGAATTCATGATGTCAATTAATTCTGATGATATACTTATAGTATATATTTGCAGTATGCTTATAATTTTTCATGCCATACTTACTGGTAATCATTGAAAACAATACAACAGTAATCAATGTAAAGGATATTGACATTAGTGAACCAGTGACGTCATGATTGCTGTTGGATTTTGAACCAAGCATTATATTGATTAGTCGAAACAATAAATTATAGTGGGAAAACAATAACTTTTTTCAATAACATGATTTAATTCAACAAAACATAATTTGAAATATAACCAAAGAGTATATTATTTATTTGAGACTGAAATCTTATTTTCTTTAAATATGACAATGTTTTTCTTTTATCAACATAGTTCACTTTAATAAAGCAAATGATACTTGATATAAAATTATATTGTTTGAGCCCAACAAATTCTAGTCAAATATAAATATCCAAAGAAACCGTTCTCTCTATATATATGTCCAGAATTTTGACTTGTAATCTGAATTTCTCTCGTGAATAACGGTAATGTACTACAAAATTTTATTGTAAAACCTTTCGCCCTCTTCTCAATAACGATCCAAAAATAAAATCTGAATTAATAATTTATGTAATAATTATTGTATATATATATATATATATATATATATATATATATATATATATATATATATATAAATTGTGTGTGTGTGGATCTGCTTTCTGCGGATTCTACTGATTCTACTCTTCAGTACAATAGTAATTGTACAATAGTAATTGTATATAATACATATAATACTATATTGTATGCACAATAGTAATTGTATATAATACGTATAATATAATAGTTCTTAAAAGATTTAATAAAATTATATAAAAAAAAAATATATGCAACATTGAATTGCATTTTTGATAAAAATGATAAAATTGCATAATGTGTATCTAGATAAATATTTCATTATTTAATATAATATTTAATCATTAAAAATGAGTTACACGATGTAAAGTGCAGAAATTGATAATTTTTTTATTCGAGTTTATATATATATATATATATATTTTTTTTTTTTTTTTTTATTTTAAATATGAGAAATTGAAATTTCTGATAGAAATGTATGTATATTATTTATAATAAATTTAAATAAAATTATATAGAATTTCAGTGAAATAAATATATATATTTCTATCAATCTTTATTGGATGTTTTACGCAGGCTAAACAACAGAATCTTTTTTCTTGTAGAATTTATCGTTAATATATAAAAACTAGACATGCAATTTCGCTCTTATTGTTCCCTGGTTTATATAATTTTTAATTAGCTGGTTTATAATTTTTAATGAATAAATATATTCTTAAGCGGCTTTATTACTCATACATCATTAATTATCATTTAATCGATCTTTTTTATTGAAATTTTTATTTTATCTCTTCTCCTTTCTTTATCTTCATTTTTTATTGGATCTTTTTTCTTTTCTATTGAATTAAGTCTGTCCTCTCCCCAACAGGAAGTGCTGGAACATTATCAATAGAACAATCAAGTGATATAAATGATGTATCATAACATATAATCATTGAAATCGCGTGCGAATTTTGAGCAACTGAGCGATTACTGAAGAGGACTCGATTCAACGTCTGAAGAGAATATCTAACAATCTAAGAATAATCAACAACATCAATGTTTAAGATTAACACATGTGCTCAGATGTATTCACAAAGTAATTATTCAAAACTGTCGCCGATATTTACGCGGACGTCCCTTCATGATTACTATTTATCGCATCTATCCATGCATCGCATTGCTAACCATTATTTTTACTCGCATCATCGTGCGGTTAAACATCGTGCAGCAGTGAAACCTTACTTTTTTTCTGACGAAATGAGCCATTAGATGTAAATTTCCATAAATTTGCATTGAACGATGTCGCCGCAGATAATTACACAAAAGAGGACGTGTAATGGATCTCTCACGTGGGTCATGGCAAATGCTAAATACGGCGTATCACTATTTTTAGTTACATCTCTTAGCGACAGATATCACACAACATATTTCTTGCCCTCACCTTGCAAAATTCAAGACTGAAACGATTATAAGAAATTAAAATTGTTTTGACGTAGGCATGTCGCAACACAAAAAAACAGGATGTATTACAGTTAATAGGAAATAGTCCAGGTGATCTTGTGTAAGCTAATCAATACGTCAGTATACGTCTATCGACACAAATTGTATGCAATTTACTTCGTAATAGCATCTTTTTTGATGGAGAGAAAATAATTACAGTCACGTGTTGTGAACTGACATTCTCGAAATTCTCTATCTTTTTAATTATTGTCCTTTATATATATGTGGAAGCATCACTGTCTACATAATTACATTAGAGAGCCACATTTGCCTTGAGCCACATTGCAGAAATTTTGCATTCGATTTCTATTGCGCCACAATTGCGCGCGTCTATGTTTACGGTTAGATCATTCGTTTCTTGCGACGCGGATGTCTCGCTGAAAATTGAAACGGAAACTTCTCATCGTTCTTTCCGAGGTTGAGGTCCGATTATCTGGAGATTTCCTTTTACTTGATTCTAGGTTACGTTCTGTAAATTTTAGCTCAAGATAGCGACAATACTGTGACGCTTCGTGATAACTCGTTTAACAATGTTATGGAAGATATTAGCGTATTTCGTAGGATAACGTAAGATTTAACTTGAGTCGACGAGGAGGTTTAGAAACGAGAGAGATCTAGAATATTTCTGTTTCCGATACGTTTCAGAATTTATTCAATTTATACGTCGAAATATCACAGAACTGATTTGCATACTCTCGAAATGTGTTATTCATCGAAATTTACAGAGCGTTTTGCTTCATCAGATTGGCTTCAGATAAGATATGTCTTTAATTCTGCATTGAACACATGTCGCAAAGAATCTTCGCTTGCCGTTCAATTACCTATTTACTAAGGAGTTACAAGAACCTGACAGGATAAGGTAAAAATTAAGTAAAACTTGGGGAGTTATAAAAAGTTGTAAATTAATAAGAGTTTGAATTTTTTGTTATGTACACCTATTAAGTTCATTTAACAATATCTTCGTATAAAAATAACTGAAAAAGAATTCATTATAAAACTTTAAATACGTTATTTTCAAAATAGTACTTTTTAAATCTGTAACTATAGTAACTTGAGGACGTTTTATTCGATTAACTTAATGTTTGATACAAACGTTTATCATAATTATCTGTATTGGTTCACGGAGGCAAATTTCCACAAATTTCAAAATAATTTTTCATTTATTTATTCTAAGCTCGAATTTTTCAATAAAAGAATTAAATTTGATTTTTTATAATTCTTATTTTACAAAGTATTGATTTTTTAAAATCAACCGATTCGTCAACCGATAATTATAATTCTAATAAATAAAAAACGTATTAATACTGATTTCTGGTCACTCCTGTTGAAGCTAGAATCATTACCCGTGAAGCATAATTCTTTTGTAGAACAGAATTGATACGATGTTAACATTTATTATAAAATCTAATTTTTGTATACCAAAGTATTGTTAAATATATTTAATGGATATACATAACAAAAAAATATTCCTTTTAATTTACAGCTTTTTACAGTTCCCTAAATTATTATTCCTGTCAAGGTTCTGTAACCATTTAAGGTAAAAGTATCAATGCCTAAGATATCAATAACATTCTTATTGTTTTCCTTTTATTATGTTATCAATGACATTCTTTTGATTTCCTAATACAGATATTTAACCTTTCACTACAGAATACATGTATATATTCTATATATAATATATGTATGTATTCAATTGAAAGTTTAAATATTCGTACTTAAAGACCAGAACAAATAATAATTATCCAGAGTTAGGTATTAGTGTAATTAATGTACATACATTGGTACTTTTATCTTAAATCGCACTGTATAACATACTAATTTTCCGTTAATCGAGCTATTGCGTCCACAATGACGAATTGCTTATCTTTTGACGTTTCCGCTCGTTACTTGTCAGTAAGTTGGAACGACAGCAGAAACTGCATGAAGCAATGATTTTTCTGATGACGAAAGAAGGTTTATTTACCTTAATTTGTGAGATCTAGAATCTTAGCATTAGTCTGCTCCATAGAAATCCCATGGCACGTTCATCGATTCTCTTTCCATTTTCTCATAGAACCGTTTGTCAGACGATGTGCAAAGGGTTCACTATGTGAACGCATTTCTGACGCCAAATTAACTGACACCATATAACGCAGGATACAAAAAACTCGCATGCGATGTTCCTTCCGGCATATATTATATTTATATTCCAAAGATTTTTATGCTTTGTTACAGAAGTAAAAAAACTTTCACAACACTTTTTCTCAAT